ACTTGTCAACAGAAACATTGCCACCCCTTTAATGCAGTTTTCCTTGCCGCCTCTTACAGTAACCAGAAGGCTGGTGGTGTGAACTCCTGGGAAGGAAGGTTGGGCAATCTACTTCCCTAGTGATAACTGCCTTGGAAACTCAAGGAGGGGTCGCTATGAGTCGAATTCCACTCCACTGCAGTGGGTTTGGGGTTTTTGTTGTTCTTACAGTATACAAGTCATGTCTGGAGTTGAATAATTAGGGGAGCTGCTGTGACCAGTAGCATTTGGACCACTGCTTTAAGTTCCTGATAAAAGTGAGGAATCCCGGTTCTCTGGCCTGTGAATCATGTTCATCTAAAATGCTACTTGTGTCATTTGACCGGTTTAGAGGATTCAGTAAAAGGGTGTAAAGAAGCTGTTAACCACCTGCCCTTAGTCACTTTGGATTGTTAAAAACCTGAACTGGCAGAGTGAGAAGTAATGGTAGGACTCTGTAACAACCTGAGTCGCCAATTCTACCGCGGAAGGCCTGAGTTAATGGCCTATGTAGTCAATACTTCTGTGCTGGACCCTGATAGGCCTGAAAATGCAATATTCCGTCGCGCGTAGCAGACGGCTCCCAGCACGAGACGGTTCTGATGAGTTTCCTGGCTCGGGAGGTGTCTACCTCTGCTCCCAGGCCCTTGGGGGAGGCGGGGCTTCCGGTGGGGCGTGAACCTGCTTCCGGTAGAACCGGTCGCCGGGACCTGCGTGGGCCAAGCGGGTGGGAGGTGAGGTGACGGCTCGGGCAGCTGGACGGAGGCCTAGTGGATGGCGGGACCCTAAGGCCCCTGGCGCATCCTTATCTCCACCGTTTCTTCTGGAAAATTATCTGGGTTGGTAGTCCCCACCACACTCGCTCGCCTCTGGCGGGCTCATTCATTCTGCCCTGTGCTGGCCGCTCTCTGAGGGTAAAGGCGGCGATTAGGAAGGTGTTGGCGAGGGCTTAAGGAGGAGTGGGACCAGGCGTGGTGGGAGCCGATTCCGTGGAAGTCAGGATCGGATGGCCTCAAAGGAACTGATGCAGGAACCGGGTGCTCAGGAATAAGTGGGAGTTTCTGTGTG